AAAAAAATCTGAATTCAGATTGCGAACAGGACTCGTGCAATAGAGACACGATCGTCGAAATAAAGATTTACGTCTTGCTAAATTTCTGTTCGCAGTTCTTTTTTTAACCTTTTCCACACGTTGGACAAAATGTCCACACTAATCGGGACCTGTGATTGGTCGGTGTTTTTCGTTAATAATTAAAAAATGAAGCCCCCGCCGACATTTGTGCAAAGGAAATTGTTATTCAGAATCGTCTCAGCTATGCTTCCTTTTCGGCTTCTACGAAAGTTTTGGGACACCCTGTATATTTTATGAGATTGCTATGCTTATTCTGATGAATTACAGGAATCTACTCACTTGCCAGCAGACAGGATACTCCCAGTCAAGATCCAAACCATCGAAATTATACTTTTCCAAGAATTGAACAGCGTGACTGATGAACTTCGTCCTGGCTGATGGACTGTTCACGAGACGACTGTACTTGTCTCCGGCGGAATCATTCCATCCGCCCAGAGCGAGCAACACCTTCAGACCTCGTTTCTTGTAAGCTACAACTCGTTCGTAGAAACCTGCCCAAAATAAATCTCATTTATTATACTGTATATATTAATTTTCGGGATCATTTGCGAGATCCCGGTCAAACCTCATTTCAGATTAAATTTAACATGTATATTGATTCTGTAGCAAAGGTTACAGGGTTACGTAACAAGTACGACGTTTACTTTTAGATACGTTTAATGTATAAGGAGATCCAACTTCCTAAGAAAGTTACTAGAAAACTTTTAGCAAAATCCCGAATTTGAAGTTATGAATATTTCGTCCACTCGAGGCGCAAGTGCGCACAGACTACGATATATATATGTCATGTGTGTATCCAGATAACACAGGGACGTCTTATGTACGTCCATGGGACGTCTGGTGCTATCTGAGATAATAATATTAATTAATTAATATTAATTTACAATTGTAAATAGTGTATTTTATATTCGGAAAAAAATATTCTGTTCTACATATTGAATAAATATTATATTATAAATAATATTTAATATATATAATATAATTAAATAATATTTATTTTGTTTAAAAAAAGGTATTTTTCCCTAAATCTAGAAAGTTCAGAGCGGACTTCCCTGGGACGTACAAAATTTAGGTTCCATGGACGTTCGTAGGACATTCCGGGCGGATGTTTGGACGTAAACTGGACATAAAATGAACGTCCGTGGGACGTCCGGTGCTATCTGGGTATATATTATCATATACATATGACATATATATATATTGCAGTCTGTGCTCACTTGCGCCGCGAATGGTAGAAATATTCATAACTTCAAGCTCGGGATTTTGATAACACTTCTACACTACACAGTTAGGACTCCTTATACAGTCTTCATGGTTTAATGATGTACGAAATATTGAAAGCATGTTACATAGAAGAGAGACTACTGGTATATCCTCTAGATGGCGCACACAAGCTGTCAATGTGGGGTTCGTGCTCTGTAATGAAACTTTCCCACAAGAATGTAATCATGCTAATCCAGATACCTGTGACAACTCTTTTACTTTAGGATACTATTTGGAAGAGTGCGATACACAATAATATTCTTCAACTCCTTTTTGCGATACCTTTTCTCTTTATTCTTTCTAGGTTACTAGTATATTCTCTTCCCGTGGCGCTTTGATCGCGTTCCTAACCGTCACACCAACAAGGAAACAGAAATGTTTCAGTATATATGTGCATGTTTGCCAACACAGAGATGAGAAACATATCCAACAGATTCTTGTTTTCAAGTGACAGTTTTGTATCCCGAATTAATGTAACGTAACCATCCTCCTACCATTTATGTTTATGTATAAGGACCGATCAAATTTTTTTCAATTTTTAACCAACTTCGAAAAAGGAGGAGGTTACTCAATTCGACATGTATCTTTCACTTTTTTTATGTCTGTACACCGATTACGCCGAGATGGCTCCACTAATCGGGATGAAATATTTTCCAGTTGGTCTCGTTATCGAGATAATTTGCGATTTGTCATTTTTCATCCATTTTTTGAGTATGCAAAAATCCGAAAAATTTTGTACTGCTTCTTACTCCTAGATGGATGGACCAATCGAATTGAAACTTCTTGCATAGTGGTAGAGCATAGCTGCCACTTGGTCCCATACAAAAATATTTGATTTTGTTTTATTTTTGATCACTTTATATTACTTTTTATCGCAAAAAGAGTACTATTTCACGTATGTTCGTCCTAAAATCAACAAAATCGATGATACCCCTTACATTTTTTTGCAGGGCGGATTTTCACGTTGATCACGTTTGCAAAAACATTCAAATTGCATTAAAAAGTTTGAAATAATTTCTACATAGTTAGTTTATATGAACTAATCATATCAACTCGGAGTTTTACTCGGAAATTTAGTACAATTCTACGTGTTCAGTACGTTATCAAACGTTTTCTAAATGTTTCAGGTCGATAGAATACCGTTGGTGTCGGTTTTATATAAACGCGAATAACGAGAGTTCCAGCCTATGGAATCGATTGAAACTGTGTTAAACAATGAAATTTAGTGCAATTCTACGTGTTTAGTACGTTATCAAACGTTTTCTCGTTTACTCGGTCAGAACAGAACTCCGAATTGACTTCAGCGACAGTCGCAGAAAAAGTAGGAAGCGCCGGGACAAGGATAGATAGATCTTTGTCTCTCCAATGATGCTGCGACAGAGAGGGCGATACAACAATTGCAGGAGAGACGAGGACAGGGCGATTAGAACGGAAGTTTACCGCCGTGGCCTGGGCCATGGGGTAAGAAACACCTGCTCCCGGGGCATAGTCCCCCCCCCCCCCCCTCTTGCTAATAGGGGGGATGAGGACTCCTGCTGATCACTAGGCGGGGCCCCCCTACCGGCTAATGTGTCCGGGAGGTATCGAACACGCGAGGGTGATAGGCCGCCAATGATGGCCCAATAGAGTACCCACCTCTGGGCCCGAGCCCATTGGGGGAAGTCGGTGGCTGGCCCCCCTCCCCGTCGGCATAGGGTTGTTACAAACCCAACGCCGGGAAGAAAGCCTGCAGTTTTAGATAGGCTCTTCCTCCCCCTTGTGGACAGGACAGGGGGGGGGGTCCATCGTGGGAGTAGAACCCCATGGGGGCCTTGTGGAAGGCGGCCGCCTTGAGACTGAAGTAGTCCGAGGCGGTCCCCTCGGGGCGAAGTATTACCTCCGGTAGAGTCTCGCTCCGGGGGCCGTGGTGTAGGGGTTTTAGTGGGTAGAAGTCCCACACTACCCCCCAACAACATCTGGGGGGTGTCTTTTCGAAGATTTCCCCTTCACCACGGTAACAAAAAAAAGGACGATTAGACTAGCATGATTTTTTTCAATGATATTGAAACAAAGAAGCAATATTTTTTAATAATTCTGGTTTTAATATATTTGTTAATCTTTGGCGGATGCGACTCCAAGACCTGATTTTGCAATTCCGGCCTTAAAACTTTATAAACAATAAAAGTACGTTTTTTTTTCTTATAGAAGAAATTTGTTTACATATACTTTTTCCAACATCAGGCCATGGAGTCGCACTCCCCAAAGTGTAACGAATATATTAAAACCAGAATTATTAGAAAATATTGCTTCATTGCTTCAATATCATTAAAAAAAATCATGCTAGACTAACCGCCTTGTCTTCTTCTCTCCTGCAATTGTTGTATCGTTCTCTCTGTCCTTGTCCCGGAGCTTCCTACTTTTTCCGCAACTGTCGCTGAAGTCAACTCGGCGTTTTGCTCATTCTCCTGCACACCCTTAAGCTGCGATATCTTTCTAACAAGAAATTACTCACGGTTATCGTAATCAGCCCACGAATCATGAGCCTTGATGGTCAGCTCTGAGTAATCCAGGACAGCGAATCCATAGATGATATGAGTACACAAAGTGTGATCGATATTTTCTGGAAGATACCGTCCGACACCTCTTCGGTACCATGCCCAATTTGTGAAGTAACATACGATCTATTGAAATAAGAAAATGAAGAAATAGAGAAACGTAGAGGAAAGGGATACGAGAGAAGAAGAAATAAGCGATGGAAAATGAAGGATTATTGGAATGAATTAGCGAAGGAATGAACAATTTAACAATTTAGCAATTTAACGTTACTTTGTAATATCCAGACAGAGGGGACACTTCATCAGGATCAATTTCTATTGACGGTGAGGTGGTCGTGGCTTGAGTGGTACTCGGCTCCCAAGGTTTCTGGCTTGTCGAGGAAATCGGTTCGTCGATTGGTTGGTTCGGCGGCGACGAATTCGCATCCTCGGTCGAGTCCAGGTCGTCTTTGCAATTAGCGCGAGCCGGCCAATCGCATATACGACTCTGTTTGTTGAAGTGTAACCCTGGAGCGCATTGGAATATCTCGTGACGACCCCAGAGACAGGCCTGGTAACTCTCGCAGTCCCCCGGGACGCTGGTATAACTGCCAGGAATGCACGACTGGAAAAACAACGAACAATCGATCAACAATTGTTAATTAAAACTGCTGTTCTTAAGGGGGTAGATACGGCACGTGAACTCTCTGATTTGGCTGGTCGGTATTACAGCAGATTTTTCTACGTAGAAATGGCAATACCCATTGTGACGGGACAGAACTTTTCTGCCCGTCACGAAGGCACCCTGACCCCGGAGGGTCCTCGCTCTCTCCTCGCCGAACACGCCGCGAAGGTGATCCGCGAGAGTAGTATGGAGGAATGCGTGTCGCGACCCCCCCTTTTTTTTGTCAGCGCTTCCCTCGTGCTCGCAATCCACGCCGCGTCTTCGAGCCAGCGCGGAAGTCGCCGGTCGCGATGTCCTCCACCCAAGGACCCCGGTGTGGCCACCACCAAAGAGGACTTGCCACCCTCTGAAGATGATCCGCCCTACCATCGTCCCCGGAGCTGCAACCACGGGAGACAAGGCGCCGCTGGAGAATCATCGACGTTAGGAGATGCCATGGTGGTGGCACATCGTAAGGAGCCCCTTAAAGCTCCTGGGTGGAGAGAACCGCGAGCCGGCGACAAGAGCGCGATTTTTGAAGCGAGCTAATTAACGGTTGAGCTGCAAGAGACGACGGATTTGAGCGAGCGAGCACCCTTTTCCGCCTTTAAAGCAGTAGTTTTCTTTCGGAGTGAGCCGTATGTGGTGGAGCCGTACACACCGTTTGGAGGGCTACACCGAGAACCATCGAGAAGGATTTTGAACCCCGAGACCGCTAACTTACAGGTAGAGCCCACGTGTTGGGGTTTCCCTTTTGCGTGCGTGTGTGTGAGAGCGGACCGAGTGTGCGTGTCCGTGAACGTACTCCGGAGCACTTTTTCGTCCGCGACAGGACCACCACCGAAAGCGAGAACCCTTGGAGTTCCCTCCGTTCGTTTCGCGTATCTCCCGCGTGGCCGCGCGCGGTTTGAGATCGCACGCGTTTCGAGGGAAATGGCCTCTTCTGGTTGTATTTTATTCTAGGACGGATTCTCTGTTCGCGAGGACCCCGTAGAATGAAGTCGCGCCGGTTCTAGAATTGTATTGGGAATTCCGCGTCGCGTTTCCTCTTCGGCGCGTAGTCGCCACACCTTCTTCCTTTGCGGCGTGTGTGTACCGCGGAATTCTCCCCTTTTGTTTTCGGCTAAATAAAGCCCAATTTCACTTTCGTGGATCAGAGTTTTCCTTATTTCTCTTTGTCTTTTCCGACCTCCTCTGAGCCCGCTCTCTTCTTAAACAGCCGGAAGGGCGAAGATAACGGACGCGTGTTTTTGCACTGGCGCCCATATTCCTTTAGGAATAAATAAATTTCGTCCGTGGAAATTGCGCGACCAGGCGTGTCGATTAGCAGCTTTCCCGGCTGCCCACGTTCCGGTTCCGTCACACTATAGAAACACGGCTGGCCGATGAAAACGAGGTGGCGCTTTCTGCTATTTCTGAGGTCGGTGTATTTCGTTAATAATTCAAAAATGAAGAACCCACCGACATTTTTGCAAAGGAAATTGTTGTTCAGAATCGTCCCAGCTACTCCCCATTTCCGGCTCCTACACGAGTTTTGGGACATCCTGTATATTGTAGTTTAACAATCTTTACAATCTAGCTACAGATTCATTGTTTGATATTATTACTTTATCTTCTTTTCTTAAAAATTTTAAGCCTCTGAAGGGGAGCCACAATAATCTTGCTCGGGGCGCCAATATTGCTAAAACCAGCCCTGACCGTGACCTTTGAGTATATAGAAATGGAGAAGGAATTGCTTTGTTCTGTATAGACCGAAAGTGTGTCCAAAGTCTGTGCGAGAGAGAAAGGTATAGTGATATTCGTCCTCTCTGCGCATGCGTCAACATCGTATCTGCACTGACCTGCACTCTTTGTATACATATATCTATAGAAACCCTGCACTTCAGATTTATGAATTGTTGTAATAGATCATTTTAATAGAAATGTATACTCAATATACGAAATATGCTTTATGTATATATGTAAGCACTTTCGACTGGGATAAATTCTCTTCATCGTAAAAGATTTGGTTCAACAAATAACATACAAATTCATTTAGAATTATATCTTAGTAGGAAACCACAGCATTTTTAGAAAGATGACGTTATGCTACTTGAAAAGAAATGAGGAAGGTGGTATAGCAAACTTGTTCGCATTGAACTCATGAATATAACACGAAACATAAAATATTGTACATATATGTAAGTTGGTTCTTCGTGTAGTAAAACTTCAAACCAATGTTTCCATGAAATTGATTTACATTAGGTTATGATACTAACATGAAATATTCAATGAAATAATATTACCTATGAAATTGGTTTTTGAAGTCATTGATTACGCCAGGAACAAACTAAATATAAAATTATCAATAAAAGAATTTAGGAAAATCAAAATTTACAAAATATACACAAGCCACTTTTATCCGCTGAATCTGCTCTCTTGCTTGCGACGTACCTTCCATGGCTACCAAACCTACGCCTCACACGGCCACCAATCACACGCCTCATACGGTTACCAACCATACGCTGCACACGGACCCTAACTAAACAGGAAACCAACTTCTCGTTTACATATATAAATATATTTATATTCTAATACATATAATGCAACTTATAATTCCTTGGCATCTGTTATTGATTTTAGCTGAGATAAACAGTAGGATTCCGTAAAGATAATATGCGCATATTTTTCTACAATAAACGTTACATTTAGTGTGGATAATGAGTGCATATCTAGAGACGCGGTAGCGTCTCGACACCAAGTTCATGAAAAATTATACAGCCACCCTGTATAACGTGGCGCTACCACTTATATATCTTTTACAGGAGAGATGGTCCATTCTAACCTAAATTGAAACTTCTTTCATTAATATCTCATCACGCCTGCAATATTTTCTAAATTTAAACGCATTTTTCTTATGTAAATCGCATATAAGCTTTCGAATAAAACCAAAATCAATAAAATCGGTCCACGTACAACTGAGATATCGTAATACCATGTCACGATACATGCAAAAATATTACCGTCTTATACTTTTCCGGTCGATTTTTCGTTACACTTAGCCAATAGGAGCTAAGGCTGTTCGTCGATTGGAATTGTAATATGGCTGGCGCTCACGCCGCTCGTTCATTTCTAACCTGTATAACCTGTCAGTTTGTATTGGTCAGTTTGTATTTGGACGCCGTAAATTGAATAATTATTTTAAAGGCTACGTGTAGTGATATTGTATTGGGAAGTATATGGTTATAAGTGATAATATATCTACCTTGTCGTTGTGAAAAGATATATATATAAATTTGGTGTTTAAGTGTGCAGTTCATAATACAAATTTCAGTAAATGTTCATTTTGTACAAATAAGAATAAGTCTTCTAATACAATAAATTGTGTGTTGTAAATAGTGGATCACTTTTTTTATTTTCACTTCATGATAAACATTTAAATTACTTGCAACAAGACTTTCTGTCACACGTTCAGTGTATGTATGAACTGTAAAAAGAAAGGGAGAGAGAACGCATAGCAGGATGTTTCACTGCAAGAAATTTAAATGTTAAAGTTGAAGCGAGAAATGAAAAAAAGAAATCAACTATTTGTAACGCACAATTTATTGTATTAGAATACAGTTCATACGTTTACAGAATGCATGGCAGAAAGTCTTGTAACAAATTCAAATAATGAGAAAATGAGAAATGAAAAAAGAAATCCACTATTTGTAACACATAATTTATTGTATTACAATAATATAGAAAATGAGAGGTCAGACTTAGTCCTTTAAGTTCTCAAAAGTACGGATGACACATGGCAGAAAGTCATGTTGCATTTAAATGTAACTGATAAACTGATTACATTTTTTTTTTAATAAATTGCTTGCTATGAGACTTACTGGAATGCGTTCCGCGTACTTTTGAAACCTTAAAGGATTCAAACTGATCTCCCATTTTCTATATTATTGTAATCACTTTATCAGTATCATTTAAATTTCTTGACTTTATACTTTTGAGAACTTAAAGGACTAAGTCTGACTTTTCTTTTTCTATATTATTGTGATACAATAAATTATCTATTACAAATAGTGGATCTCTGTTCATTTTCTCATTATTTAAATACTCTTTACGTAACACAGCCCGCCAATGTAACCTATAAGCATGGCATTCATAATGTATTTGACGCATGCGCACAGAGGACAAATATCATTCTATAGCTTTCTCTCTCACACAGACTTTGGACACACTTTCGGTGCTGGCAATCTTCCTCCATGTCTATACAGGGTGGTCCACGCAATTGTTTCAAGTCATAACTCCGTTATTATTGCATTTACGAAAAAATGCGAAAGGAGAAAGATAAATGATTCGAAGAGCACTACATCTGTAGGACTTTAAATTTTTTTTAGATGCAGCAGTGCATATACAATTAACAATTGCATCATTTCATTGCTTTCATTCTATGTAAAAAATGATTAGGGTACCATCGCAAAAAAATTATTAGTTCTCGAGATATTTTCAAAAAACTACTGCGTTGCTACGTTGCTACGTTGCTACTCACGTTAGACTTAGCGTTTGAAACGACGAGGGAGGCACTCTTCATCGGTTTCTCGACGCAAGGGTTCTTGAAGGCCCAATCGCACATGCTTCTTTCATTGTTCCAGTTCAGCCCTGGCCCACACTGTTGCGAAACGAGATTCCCGTTGACGCAGACCCGGAAATTCGTGCAAGAGTTGGGGTACGGGTAATACTGGCCATGCTCGCAACTCTTTTCGGGTCTCCCGTTTGGTTTCTCCGTGGCAATTGGTCTTCTAGTGGTCGTGGTCGCTTGCGTACTGGACATCGTGGACGATGGAATCGGTTGCGACGTAGTGGTCGTCACGGTAGTGCTTCTCACGGTACTGCTCCATGGTGGCCTTTGCGTCAGAGAATCTAGGCCAAAGAAGGATCACATTTTATACGGGTTACACTATAAATTTATCATTATTAGATTGCGGATCTTTATGGAAAATAAAATCTTCACGAACGTGGCTACAAAAATTGAGCCTAAATAAAAATTTATTTTATTCTGCATATGTTATATAACATGAACGTTACTTTCAATCGTTTTTATATTCTTGCATATTGTTTGCATTTTGTAGGTTCTTGCACATTCAAATTTCCTATAAATACATAAAGATCCACAGTCTAATCATTATGCATTAGACAGTCATCGAATTAAGGAAGCAGTCTGGTTTAGAACATTGAAAATCAGTCATTTTTTACGAATATTTAAAAAATAATGTATTAAGCGAATAGTTATGAAAGCCACGTATATGGACATGGTGCAACCCTTTATTTTTGCTTTAAACAACAAACTTAAACATTTTTTTCTTTATTGAATAATTATATTGTAGATACACCTAAAAATTCGATACAAAAAATTTATTTATACAAGTGATTGCAAAATTGCTTGCCAAAATCAATTTCTTTTTTCAACTCCAATCATTTTTTCAATTTTGTATTTTTTCACGACTTATAGACGCAGCAACAATGTAATTGTATAATAAACAAGAAAATCTTTCGTTCTTTTGGTTAAAGCGAAAATTGAATGCTTTACAATCCCCGCAAAATTGTAACTATGGCAGCAAGGGATTTACAAACATGCTCATATACAGGGTGTCCCAAAAATGTTGGAACACATTGAAAGAGGTGGTTTGGGAGGTGATTTGAAACAACTTTTTCCTTAGCGAAAATGTTGTCCGAGGCTTCGTTGAGGAGATATTAACAGAAAACACTGATAAATCGGAGCGTAAGTATCCCGGTGCACCTAATTTTAGTAATTTTTATACAAATCTAATAACTTTTTGGCATACAAGTCGGTCATATTGGATCTGCCATTTCGATTTTTTAAATTTTGATTACAGATTCGTAATTAGCGAGCCGAAAAACCACAGTATACTAAATTTCATTCAAATTTAAGAAATTTTTGGCATACAAGTCAGCCATATCTGCAATTTCGATTTTTAAAATTTTGGAAACCCGGACAAAATATAACTAATGTTCTGATTTGTATGAAACTTCGTATACCGGGGTTTTTCGGCCCGCTAATTACGAATCTCTAATCACAATTTACAAAATCAAAATGACGGATCAAATATGGCCGACTTGTATGTCAAAAAGTTCTTAAATTTGAATGAAATTTGGTATATTGGGGTTTTTTAGTTCGCTAATTACGAATTTGTAATCAAAATTTTAAAAAATCGAAATGGCGGATCTTATTATGGCTGACTTGTATGCCAAAAAGTTATTAGATTTGTATGGAAATTACTAAAATTAGATGCACCGATATACGCGCGCACTGATTGGTCGGGGTTTTCTGATAATATCTCTTGAACGAAGTCTTAGACAACGTTTTCGCTAAGAAAAAAGTTGTTTCAAATCACCTCCCAAACCACCTCTTTCAAGGTGTTACAACATTTTTGGGACACCTTGTACATGGTTTTCCGCGTACAATTCTGTATTGAAAAAAATGATTTGTTATCACTAAATATCCAGTAAAAGACCCTGTAAGTTTCACAATGATTCGCTTAATACATTATTTATTAAAAATTCGTAAAAAAATGACTCACTTTCAGTGTTCTGAACCAGGCTCCTTCCTTAAGAGAGTCATTCGAAGATAAATAAGACTCTTTATTTATGAATTTATTGAACGAGTATTTTAGCATACTAACAAAGAATTATTATATGTTTTTCATCTGTACAAGTCATGTACTTTTCGATCTAAAATATCACACACGTTCCATCTAGCAGTTTTAAGAAGTATCGAGGATAACTATGCTACATTTATCGATTAAATTTTCACAACACTAAACGATGATTCACTATACCGATACAATATAATCTTCGTGACACCCTCGGTTAGGAAATTCAAATTTACAAAACATAAGTCGTTCTAATAAATTCGTTCAAAAAGATGTCTCACTTATACTTGCAACACCATCGTACTTATAGTATACTGCCGAGAGATTTTATACACTTGCGGCAGGGTGGAATCTATCGCGATCGAGAACGAGATTGTCCAAAGGATGCAGGAAGGTAGCATTCTTCGTCACGATGGACGTACGATGGATTAATGTGAAATTGAACCAAGTGGAATACTGATGACACCGACTCTCTCGTGAAATGTAAACGATTTACAGAGGGAAGATGTGACAATCTCTTGCCTGGAGGCGTCGGTTACAAAATCCGCAGTAAAAGTGCGCAGGAGTACATACTTGTCAAACAAGCATTGTGCAAACAGGTTTTCACTATTGCCAACGAATCAAATGAAACGTGTCAACGACAAGTGACAGAGAATATTATACGCGTCTGCAAATTACGTCATTTGTGTATACGCGTGTTAAGTCTTTAAAATACTCATCAATCTTTTTGGATGAAGTCAGTCAATACATTAACCCTTTGCACTCGAGAGATGACTCTCAGTCACCATTAGATTTCACGCAGCAAATCTATAATACCTAATGTTTCTTCACCTTCAATTTCTTTGGAGTTCGAAGTGTCAATAAAATAAGTTGACCTTATTCTAAAATCTAGATAGCTTAGAATTCATGGCAATAGGATGCTAAGAAACATTTCGAGTTGCTGGTAGATACCAGAGAAAAAAGGCCTCGAGTGCAAAGGATTAACAGTCCGATCGATGAAGACGTCATTTGCTCGGTTGAGATTGTGAACAATGTTAATCAGAACATGCAAATCTACCAGTTCCCATTTGACATTTCGCCGCTGCAGGCCAGTCACAGATTCCTCGCCTGGCGTCCCAGTGCAGTCCTGGTGCGCATTGTTCGCGTTTCAATTCGCCTAGGACGCATCTAAAATAGTTCCCGCAGTTGTCAGGGTCTGGTTGGTATATTCCGATCATACAAATCATCCCAGGCTTCGAAGATTCCGGTAGCTTTTCTGTGGCTTCTGTTGTTTCAACGGTTGGTTTCGTAATGGGCGCTCTGAAATTATTTGGTAGTCAATATATATCACATCTAGACATAAGTGTTATTAGAATTCGATTAACGTTTCAGAAATCCTTTTCCATTGTCGCGAAGGAGGGCGCCGGTTCAGCCGATCGCCGGGGTTTGAGAGGTAGGACCGGTTCCTAAACTCGCTAGCGGATCGGTTCGGAGTTTTGAAGTCGCGTGTACGGCTCGGGTTTCGCGTCGCAACCTAAAGGTGAGGTCCCATGTATGTAAGTTCGGGCGGCGAGCACGAGGAACGTCCATTGGAAAGTGTCAACTCCTCGCGTAGGAAGGTCTGATGGACTCAGGCGAACTAGCACAACCAGCCGCGAACACCTAAACGAGCACGAAATCCCGAAAAAGGCCACGCACCATCATCGCAACGGGCGGTCGACAAGGGGATGTCATAAAGAATTGAAAATACCAACCTCGACAATTTTTATCGAAACTTTGCGGAAGTAATTTCGATCGATTCATGATGCTTTTACGATCAAAATAATATCTCAAATCGCGTAAATCGGACTATTTTTAACGAAATTATATGCAAAATCTGATTGCATAATTGAAAAGTTACTTCGTTAAAAATAGTTCGATTTACGCGACGTGAGATATCATTTTAATCGGGAGAACACCAAGAATCCAATGACATCGCGTTCACGTTGATACGATGAAGAATAAAGAATTCGATTTTATCAAAAACTGATGAGTCGATCGCCCGTTTGGCCCCAGACCCTTGAGCGAACCCAGGTAGGCGTTTACGGTCTCGGTGAAAAGAAGTATTGGGGGTCTCGCTTCGAGCCACTCGAAAGAGTCGATTTTTTTGAGTGTTCGATCCAGGCTCGCGTAGAATAGTCTCCATGCTCGCGAGCACTAGACCATGAGCCGAGACCCAAACGCTCGTAAAAATCGACCCTTTCGAGTGGTTCCAACCGTTCGTCGTCGCATTTAGAGACCTTTTGTTCGCTAGTAGGAACGTGTTTTCGAACAAAATCCGGCGAGCACGGACAATTTATTGCTTGAGCACGAGCATCACATAGATGAGACCTCACCTTAAGGGTGAACAACCCTTTACAGAGGCTCGGCGGGTAGGGGGATAGCATGAGCCGGAGGTCGGTAGGAGGTGCCCCAGGAGGGTCGAAACGGCAGCGCAAGGACACCTTTTCTTCCCGGGCGAGTGGCCGTGGACCAGTGATGGACATTCGTGGGATTTTTCCTTCGAGGAATTGCTTTCTGCGCATGCGTAAGCTGACGCACAGCTACATGTCATCTGCTACCATACATGTATCCGAACCGCCAGAGAAGGTGCATTTAAGGGGCTTGTGCAATTTTCCCGCGTTTTTAACGGACAAATTAAGTACAAGAATGTTCATGTTCGTGAGTGTAATATTAGGGAACATTTAAAAAAAAATGGATAATGAACTGCAGCCATCCACGTCAGGAATCATCGAGGAAAAAAAGAGGACATTATATTTTGTTCCTTACTGGGATCCAATGGTACCCTAAATTCTAAGTAAGTGTATACAGCAGTGAGGACTCCAACGTTCGCTTCAATGCGGATGATCAGGAAAAATCCCACGAAGGTCCATCACTGCCGTGGATACCCGAAGATGGCTGTCGGCGAAGACATGTCTTCCGGCGACCGGGGATGTCCCACGATTCGAGGCCGGGGGTCTCGAAAGGGGGGCATGAGAGGTTAAACGGAGTTAATCATGTTCTTAGAGGGATCTCAGGGACGTTCTCCTTGAACGTGCTTCGTAGGAGGATAGCAGTAGGCTTTATAACCAAAAGTTACGAGAGCGTTTGAACGGCTAGAATGTGTTTATATTTTGTACTCGAGTGTGTACACGTGATGCACGTTCAGGCGTTCTGCCCGTTGAGCGTCGCGTCAGTGGTACTTATGCGCGGCACTCCCTACTTTCGCTAGTGAGAGAGCGCCGCGCGATAGCGTCGCCTAGCGGCAGCCGGCAAAACTATCGTTGGGAAGGAAGACAGCGCGCAATTCCGAAAGGGAGAGGATCGCGACTAAGGCCAAACGCACACGGGCGCAACCGATTTGAAATTATTGTTACGAACCGTTTGCGCTCTTTGGCCGATCGCACACGGGCGCAACCAATCAGTCTCAAACTACTTTGAAACTAGTTGCATGCGACCGTGGATCTAGGTAAAGCAAAGATAGTGGAGTAGGTGAAACAAAGAGCGCAAACGGTTTGCAACACTATGCAAACAGTGATGGGCAAAACCCTAGGCTTCGAATAAATCTGAAGTTTGCCGACATATTTGTCTCATTTCCTCTTTTGAACATTTTCCAAAGAAAGAAACGAGACAAACACATCGGCAAACTTCAGGTTTATTCTAAGCCTAGGGTTTTGCCCATCTCTGATTTCAAATCGGTTACACCGTATGCGATTGGCCTTTGTTTTACCTAGATCCACGGTCGCATGCAACTAGTTTCAGAGTGGTTTGAAACTGATCAGTTGCGTCCGTGTGCGATCGGCCTAACCCAACCTAACCTTACGTTATACCATAATTAAATAAAACCCCAAACTTGTAGTGTTAATCCGTAACACCTTCTCTACAATGACGCTACCGCATCGTATTGTTGCAAAATTTAATATTTGTAGGCAATTACACGTGCTGTCTTTTGCACAGTCGGCACCGCTGCCGACAATCAGTGCCGCTACCGACAATCGGCACCGCTGTTCAGTGATCGGTGGCCGCTACCGAACACGTGCTACCGATCACCAGATTGTGTGTATGTATGAAGCGTTATTTACGAGGAACCGGCAAAAGGCCAGAGAGCCTAGTGTTAGTCCGGACTTCTTAGAGACCACAAGTATTAAATAAAGTTTTCATTATACTTTGTGTTTTTCGCTGAACCATCCTACATATTGAACATATATTCTCCTAGAAAAAGTTATACTTGGTTGAAGTCCAGGTCCATGAAACACTGCTCTGCGTCGTGGATGGTTTACTCGACGTAGGGTTCCAAGACCAACTCGGCCAAGTTGTTCCCTGAGTCGTGGTGCTCGGTTTCTCGGACCAGCTAGGCCAAGTTGTCCTCTGGGTCGTCGTGCTTGTCTTCTGAGTCGAAGTTGAGCCCATGGTTGGCTTTGCCATCGCTGTGGTGGGTCGCGGAGTGTCCTCGACAGCGTCACTGTGAGTCGTCATTGTTGGAGGTTGCGGTGTTATTGGCTCTGCTGGTCGCTGACAGTTTTTAACAGGCTTGGTCTTCAATCGGCCTGTGGAAAAGATAAACGGTGCAAAGTTCGACTTTTCTTATTACATCTGTGTTTCAATCGGAGACGGACAAAATTTTTGATCTAAATACAAATTTTAGATATCGAATAAAAGATGGAAATTTTATATCTATTACTCGTCGAATAAAAAAAGAATATTTATTCGACGACTAAAGATATCTATTTCATCTGCAGGGCGTTTCATCCATCGGGTAACTTTCGTGTTTTTATCTGTATTGGAGGTTCATTGGATACTTAAGTTATCTTTATCTGTCGAATAAATGCTCTGCGAATAAATATATTTATCTATTGTCCGAGTAATAAAGATACATAACTTGAGTCATCAGTCAAATAAATTTACTTCGAATAAATATCTGTATTCGATGACTTTTGGATAAAGACAAAGATAAAGTATCTTTATTCGATTTTTTATTTAAATAATGTTTTATCTAGATATTGCTCCATCTTTGATTTAAGTAAATACGCCCTATCCCTTCCCCCGTATACCTAAAAAAAGATTTACCGACCTAATGCGCGATTAATAGTCTTCAACAGAGGAAAGGATTCGAAACAACAGCGATTCGAAAAGTCGTCCAAATCGACGGTCCACATTGCTACACCTCCGTAACCACTTTGGAGTACGTGTTGCCCCTTTGCGAAGATGCTCTCTTCGTTGTCGTAGCCTACCCACTGGTCCTTGAAATGAGCACTAGGCCCGGGTCCGTTTTTCCAGGCTTTGTTCTTCACTCTGTCGCAGATCTCGTAGTACGCCAGCATACCAGGTTGTTTGGTGAATTCCCCGGAACTTCCAGGACCGGTAGCTGGATCGCCAAGCCCGGTCAGATCGTCGCTGGACAGTCGATAAGCTTGGCCGTAAAGCGGTATGCCTACCTGGAGCTTCGATCTTTCCGCGCCGAGTTCGATGAGGTACTCCATTGTGGAATTCTGAAAAAATTTTGATAGTACATTTTTTCGCATAAGATATTTAAGCCTTTTACGACTAGGTTCTTCGTGGTTGATACTAACTCAGACTTCCGGGTATAATCAGTATCCTCCGGATAAGACACTGTTACACCTGGTTCTGCCGGCATTGCAGATAGCTTCTTCAGTGCCAAATGAAACTCTGATATTGATATACAGGGTGTTTAAAAAATGTTGAAAGCCGGTTGGTTCGGGGGGTGACTTGAAACAACTTTGTCCTTAGCAAAAATGTTAACCGAGGCTTCGTTAAAGAGATATTAACAGAAAACCCTGACCAATCAGTGCGCGCGTATACCGGTACACCTAATTTTAGTAATTTTCATACAAATCTAATAACTTTTTGGCATACAAGTCGGCCATATTGGATTCACCATTTTGATTTTGTAAATTGTGATTAGAGATTCGTAATTTGCGGGCCGAAAAACCCCGGTATACGAAGTTTCATACAAATCAGAACATTAGTTATATTTTGTCCGGGTTTCCAAAATTTTAAAAATCGAAATTGCGGATCCAATATGGCCGACTTGTATGCTAAAAAGTTCTTAAATTTGGATTAAATTTGGTATACTGGGGGTTTCTAGTTCGCTAATTACGAATCTGTAATGAAAATTCAAAAAATCAAAATGGCGGATCCAATACTCCCGCTCTGATTGGTCGGGGTTTTCTGTTAATATCTCTTGAACGAAGCCTCAGACAACATTTTCGCTAAAGTAAAAGTTGTTTTAAATCACCCCCGAGCCACTCGGTTTTCAAGGACGTCCAACATTTTCTAAACACCCTGTATGTACACAGGCAAAGTAAATGTAACAAGCCATAACTTCGTTATCAGTCCATTTAAAGAAAAATGTTATAGAAAAAAGGTGAATGGTTAAAAGTATACTATACAGGGTGTTAAAAAAAAACATTTAATGTTTATATGGTATATAGGACATGCTGGTACTGGGTATAAAAGTTAAAAAAGTTGTACTGAGTAATAAAAGACTGTCAGACAGTCGAGTTACTTACAACATTGTAATACGGATTGTTGTCGTTAGAACTTCCAAACAACGGCGACAAATGACCCGTCCTTGACTCCCAAGCGCCATGATAATCATACGTCATCACCGACACAAAGTCCGCAGCTTTGGAGATTTGTCGCACCTCGTACGCCCTGTCAATGACTTCCTTGTACCCCGATAAAGCAACAGCCAGCGTAAGCTTAGGCTGCTGTCTGTCGAATTCTTTCTTCAGTTCTTGTATCAGTTTCGTAAAATTTGGTTTGTCGGAGTCCGGACCTTTTCTGCAGTCGCTCTGCCAACATTTAGGGTAGTTCCATTCGAGCGAAAGCCCGTCGAAATTATGCTTCTGCAGATAGTTGATCGTCGCTATTACGAATTTACGACGCGCGCTGCCATTATTTATCAGCCTCGAATACTTGTCACCGGTGCTGTCCGTCCAACCTCCGATCGCTAATAGTATCCTTGGTCCTTTGATAGACGTTATTCGTTGGTAAAGATCTGAAAGAAAATTGACAAGCTTTTGATTGATTGATTGAGAGATTGAATCTTCACACTGTGAGGAATTAATGTTGGAAAATAATCCTACATTTTTAAATAATGATAATTGTAAGCATGGACATACCGAAGGGTAAAGGAGGGGGAAGTTTTATTAACAAGATCCATCCATCGGTTGTGTTACCGTGAATATAAAACCGACAGAATCTTTGTGACATTCGTCGAGAAATAACGATGGAGGAAAGAGAAAATATATTTTATGTGAAATGAAGCAAAAACGTTTACAGGAACATTAATGTTACGGGAGGCTTATGGAACAAAGCACTATCACGTATATTAACCTTCTATGGACGTCTCTAATTTCTCGCGGGTGAAAAATTTGTCCCGGTAAAGTTGGTAACGAAACGTTCGTTAGGACTTAGTACAAAGTACGCGCTCCGACCGGTAGGTGGCGACCGCAGGGTGATGGCGCTCGCAAGCGAAAACACGAGATAACGCCCGTATGAACCCCGACGCGGCCGTAGTAGGGAAGACCGATCCCAGGGGGACCAAGCACAGTTGCGGGGAAGTGAAAACACGTTTTTAGTTGGTGAACCAAATCCACGCGGCGCTAGTAGGCATCACATACACATATCTAGCGTATCGGTGAATATCACCAACACCGGTATGAAAATTTCAACGTCGGTGTCGGTAGCTGTCGGTTTCCGTCGGTACTCATTGTCATTTGCGAAGTAATAATGGACTATTGTCAATGGCATAATGGTAACAATCACTCACGTGGCGGTAGTCTGATAGCCAGCGTGATTTGATTCCTTCGTGACTTTTAATTGTGTTTTTTGTGTGTTTCTTTGTGTTTTTTTCAGTTTTGTGAAATATGGCACCTAAAAAGTGCCAAGTGAGAGGATGTACCTCACAGGAAAACCAGCTTCGCCAATTTCCCGATCTGATGAAAGATAGGGAACGCTGCCTTCAATGGATAGCAGCGTGTGATAATCCTTGCCTCCAGGACATGTCATCAAAGGAAAATGTGAAAATCTACGATGTCCACTTTGAGGATGTTTATAAATTAAATGTCCGATTGAGTACTTCAGCAGTGCCAACGCTTTGTTTGCCAAGTATGTATACATAAAATAAGCATATTTATAGGCCCGTATTCACAGTC